TGTTTGACACATAAAAAAAGTAACCAAATTGAGTTTTAAAATGACTATATTCATTTAGTTTTAAAGTTTAAAAACCAAAATTTATTATAGTTTAAGCTACAGACAAATTTCAATCAATTTTGTGTCAAAGTTCAAAGTCTAAAAACATAAAACATAGTTAACCCATTAAATAAGTTTTCGGTACCTTCAAAATTGACACTAAATTGAAATGATACAAATTACATGAACGAGAAGAGTATATAATCTTTACTTCTAAGTAATAACATTTGATACTATAAAGAGGTTTTGTTATCCAGCATTTATAACAGTTAAATTAAATTATAATTCAATAAAAAAGATAATATTCCTGTCAAAAGGGTGAGAGTGCATGTTAATTATTGGTGAATTGGTGATAGGAAATGAATGTGATTACATGTGTTTTCCTTTGTTGAAAGCTAAGAATTATGTACTTATATTATGCAGCAGCAGGTGTGGTGCAGATGGGATGGACGAAGATTAAAGTAAGAGGAAGAGAGGAAGTGTTAAATTAGGGCTGTTTGAAGCATATCATATTCATATTTTGTCTCCACTTGGTGGATGTAAATTTTTCAGTTTAAATATTTTGATGTACAGAGTAGGAAGCAGTGTTGCCAAAATGATGGTCTGCGGGGTGCTGGCTTTGTTTGTAATGCCAGCTTTCCACTTTCTACAACATTTTGCCTCGGATCGCATGTTTGCTTTGGCGAAGCAGATTTTAAATTTTAAAGTATATATACATAGTTCCCTTTTATACCCTTATACCTTATTTTGTTTTTTATAGCTTAATTTCTTATCTTAATAGTCATTCTATTAGGCTTTTACTTCTATATCCTAGAAGTCAATAATTATCAGAACCCATTTTTGGTAATTTTTTAATTACATAATCTCTAACTGGCTGTGATTGACAAAGCTAAAATTGGCCAAAGTTGTTCAATTTTAATATTAATTTAAGAATTTATAGAGTGATAATTGTTCGGGGTTATAAAATTCTTATGAGGCCTTTTGATTCCATAGAAAGTGTATATATAATAGATTTTATTATATTAATTATTAATTATACTACAGGGTTTATAAGCGGAGAATGTTTAGGTTGAATGTTAAATGAATTGGTAAACTTGAAATTATTAATCCTAATCTTGTTGAGAAGTAAAAGACAAGGTCAAGCTATATTAAGTAAGATCTATATCTAAAATTAATTATCATAACATCTATTCAAATAAATATTCATTAAAAATAATATAAATAAGCAAGGTATTAACTACGAATATTATTGTTTATCCTATGATTGGATACTATTGCTTATCCCATAAATATTACTATTTGCACACAGTAACTTGATCATCAGAATATATTTTCGAAATTTGGAGACTGAGAAGAACATGTGGTCTTATAAAGGTCTTCTCACTTGTAAGAACATTAATATATTTTCCATTCTTTCATTAAAATACAACTAAACCATTTTTAGTTTTTAAACATAATTTTTCTTTATATATTTATCTTTGTTTCTTTTATATTAACAATATTATTTTTTTTAGAAATATTACATTGATTAAAATTTAAATAAAAATTATAAAAAAGAAAAACTATAGAATATTTTACAAAATGTTATTCTTATAAATAAAATAGAAAGTTACATTATTTAATTAAAAATGGATGAAGTTGAACGCTATTTACTTAAAATTAAACAAATGATACAATGGGTTTATTCGAAATTTATTGAAATTATTTTATTAGATAATTGACAAAGTCTATTAGTACTAGAGCTGTCAAAATGGGTTACCCGGTCCACCACGGGTTGGTCACTTAACCCAATCCAGCTCATTTATTAGCGAGCCAGAAAAATTTAAACCTAGTCCGACCCACCACGGGTTGGTGGGTAAACGGGTTGGCTTATTGGCTCACTTAATTATAATTTTTTAAATAAAAAAAAATTACAAACTTTCTATAATTTAAATCTAAACAAATTTCACTTCCAAATTTCAGTCCCAATATGAGTGTTTAATTAATTTTGAAAATAAGAAACTTAAATAATATTTTCAAGCAATAACAAAATAATAAATATTTTTTTATAAATTAAATTTTAATAAAATAAAATTAGGTAGATGGGTTGGTGGGCCAACCCGCATGAGCTGGGTTTAAATGAGCCGGGTTGAAATCTGACTCGCATAAAAAATACAATTTTTTCAAACCCAACCCGGCTCAAACCCGTGGTGGGCTGGGTTGGCCCTCGGGTTTGACCCATTTTGACAGCTCTAGTTAGTACTACAACTACTTTTAGGTATAGGTAGTCTTATATATAGTAAAATACCAACATTGATTGATTTAGAGCATCGTCGTCTTATGTATTCAGGCTCGTACTTAGAAAGTTTTAGTTCTCTTTGGAGAAGAGTGAAGAATTCTTTAGCTTTAAGTTGTTGACATTCCTCTTTTGTCAAGTATATCACAAATATATTTTGTTCAGGGAAGAATAAAAGAAGTATTTGAGAGATCTTTACTTCAATATCCAAAAAAATATTCAAGATTACTAAGTTTTTTTAGGGCAAAAACTGAGTTTAGTCTAGATGTTATAGATTGCAAATGTATGGAAGAGGAGTCAGTATATAATCTATATAGATGATAACATAAAGACAACCTGCATAAGATGTAAGTATTAACAAAGAGAGATAAGTATTAACAAAGAGGGAAAAACTTGCTTTGAGCAAAACCAAAACCAACAAGAATGGTGGTAAGCGTTCCATACCAAATTTTAGGAACTTGTTTTAAGTCATTTTAGGAACTTGTTTTAAGTCATTTTTAGTTTGGACTTCAACTTACAAACGGTTAACATTTTGACAACTATACCAATTCCTTACAAATAGTAAATGAAAGTTCCAAGTATTGATTCTCATAAAATGTGTTTGTTTGTCTAATAATGCTTATTTATCAATTCCAACATGGATAAAAACAATGATTGAATTCATAAGCAAGGAAACATATTGTAATAACAAAAATTTAGAAATTGTGATTGAAATTAAGATGAAACTTCATTTCTATTGGAATTCATGAATTAAATGGTAATAATGCTCTATCTAATTTATCATTGTTTCATTCAAACATTCATATCAATGTATACTAGTCTTAATTATTTAAGAACTAGTTCTAAACCTATATGTCAAATTACTAATTTCTTAGTTCATTTAATATATAATTTACATTAAATTCACATGTTAAGAATGACCAAGAGATTGAAACTATTCCTAGAACAAATTCTTTTGGTTGCTTTATATATGTTTATGTTCTAATTTAATTTCCAATGATTAGATATATACAAATTATGACGGTACAATTCAAATTTAGATAAAACATATGAATGAAAACATTAGTTGAGTTCACTAAATCTTCTTCAACTTTATCAAAAATTATTTATTTAATTCAAAACACAGAAAATTGGAAGATGTTAAAAAAATCATTTTATTATAGCTTTTTTATTGGTTAAAAAAAATGAACAAAGGCTAGAAAGAGGTTTTGGTTTTGATCAGTATATAAAAAAGGGTGACATTCATGCAAATGATTAGGTTTCCTAAAAGCAATCACGGTCACAAATTAAAAATACAAACTTTAGTAAACAAACTTTCCTAACAGAACCAATCAACCAAAAGATATCCCATTTCACTGAAAATGAAACCCTAAGTTACAAAACGTTTTGGCGTGTTTTCACACAATGAGAATGAAGAAAAAAACCTGTGAATATAAATAAAAGAAAAAAAATTACATCTATGTCCCTACATATATGAGATCATTTACATTAAACTATCCAACATACACTATCTCGTTTACGTCAGCCAATAAAAAATCTGACATAAAACCATTTCATTTATTTATAAAAATTTCATCGCGCATTTTTTTACATATACTCTTTTTACTTCATAGATAAATGAGGTGGCATAATACTCTTTTTGTGTTATTGTCATGACAACACACTGTATACAAATATACAAATTCTTTCGAATTCGTTAAACTACCTATTCTTCTGATTACGATTATAACATAACAAACTAATCTTTTATGAAAATGTAAGCAAGATATACAGTACGAGAAAAATTATAATTACAGTAAAATTTTCTTTATTAACAAGAAGTTTGAGTGCAACATAAAATATATCATCTAAAATACCACTAACAATTAATCAAGCTTTGGCATTAAAGTATTAAAGTAAAAGAACAAAATGAGACCAATGTTTGATTATTTCCTCAAGACCTGTAAATGAATGTAACAATTTCAAACTGACTCCAAACTTGATCCCTAATTTAAGAAAGTATTTCAAAATGTTTTTAATACTAAATGTAATAATTAAATCTTCAAAATACAATGTTTATAATTTTAATTAAAAAATAATAACATAAAAACTAATAACACGTTGATATAATGAAATTATTGACATTACTCAAAATCGTATCATCAATTACCATATCCAAATTAAAATAATGAAATAAAAAAAAATATAACGATGCCAAAAAAATATATTTAAATGTAATAAACTAAAAAAGGACATATTTTGTAATCAATAGAACATATTTGAGTCTAACGGAAACAATAATTTTAACGTTTAAATATTATTAATTTCTTTTATTTCCTTCTCTATTTAAAGGAAAGAAAAAAAATTGTGATTTTCTCTTAAATTTTTTCTAACATGTACACAAATTCATGCATGAAAGACGAGAACACTCACTAATAGGTAATTTTCATGTAAATAAATATAGGTATTTATGTATTAAATGTAAAAAGAATATGTATTTACTTATCAAATATCAAATAAGCATAAATTACTTACATTATGAATTTTTTAAATATTTATTTACATAAACAATTTAATTAGCGATTTGATATTTACTGCATGCAAGATGAACCAATTTTAGTATTTCGATACAGAAAGAAAGTAAATGATTTTTTTTCTCATTTATATCCTTTTCTTTCTTTCATTTTTTTTTTCAAAATTATTGTAACTTGGGCAGATCCATAAGAAAGTAAGTGCCGGCTCTTTCATCACCTCATTTTTGTTGCTGCCAGAAGTTAACATTGTTAGCTTAATGTTCGTTCCGTTTGAATGGCTTCATTCCGAACTCAGCAACAGTTGTAGGTCCCTCTTGAGGGTGAAGCAGTTACATGCATTCCTTTTGAAGACCCATCTCTCAGAAGACCCTTTTTACGCAACAAAAATTGTCAGGCAGTATGCAGTCAACAGCGACATCAAATCGGCCCATCACGTGTTCGACAAAACTTCCAACCGAAGTGTCTATCTTTGGAATTCCATGATTCGAGCTTTCGCGCAGTCCCAAAGATTTTTCAGTACAATCTCTCTGTTTAGAACCATGCTTGGGGCTGACATAAGTCCTGATGGTCACACTTATGCTTGTGTTATACGTGCGTGTGCTGACAACTTTGATTACGGTACGCTAAGGCGTGTTCATGGAGGTGCTGTGGCTGCAGGATTAGGATTGGACCCTGTTTGTTGCAGTGCCCTTGTGACTGCTTATTCAAAACTCGGCCTTGTTCATGAAGCGCGTAGAGTGTTCAATAGGATCACCGAACCAGATATAGTTTTATGGAATTCGTTGATTTCTGGCTGTGGGAGCTCTGGTCTTTGGGATGTTGGGATGCAGCTGTTTAGTGCGATGAAACTTGTCGGGAAGAAGCCTGATGGGTATACCCTGGCTGGGTTGCTTGTGGGTGTTGTAGATTCTGGGATGCTGAGCATTGGCCAAGGATTACATTGTTTAAGTCAAAAGAGTGGGCTTGATTCTGACTCTCATGTTAGTAGTTTGCTGGTGAGTTTGTACTCGAGATGTAAGTGCATGGATTATGCATATAGAGTCTTTTGCAGTATTTTGAATCCTGATTTGGTCACATGGTCTGCTCTTATTATGGGGTATTCTCAGGCTGGGGTGTATGAGAAGGTGCTGTACCTTTTTAGGAAATTAAACATGGAAGACAGGAAGGCAGATGCTGTCTTGGTTGCCAGTGTATTGGCTTCTATTGCTCGTACGACAAATGTAGGACTTGGGTGCGAGGTACATGGTTATGCTCTTCGGCATCGATTGGAACTAGATGTCAGGGTCTCCTCTGCTCTAATAGATATGTATTCAAAGTGTGGTTGCTTGCAGTTGGGAATTAGTGTTTTCAGGATAATGCCAGTGAGGAATGTTGTTTCTTATAATTCTGTAATTTTGGGTTTTGGCTTGCATGGATATGCTTCTGAGGCTTTTAAGGTATTTGATAAGATGCTGGAGAAAGGATTGGTACCTGATGAAGCCACATTCTCTTCTCTCCTTTCTACCTGTTGTCATGCTGGCCTCGTCAAAGATGGTCGGGAGATTTTCCGGAGAATGAAGGAGGAATTTAGCATCAGAGCTAGGGCTGAACACTATGTTTACATGGTGAAGCTCCTTGGCAGTTCTGGGGAGTTGGAAGAGGCTTACAGTCTGATCCAGTCTTTACCAGAACCTGTAGACAAGGCCATCCTGGGAGCCTTATTATCTTGCTGTAATTCTTGCGGAAATTCTGAGCTGGCAGAAACTTTAGCGCAGCAGCTTTTGGCAAATAATCCTGCCAATAATGTATACAGGGTTATGCTTTCTAATATATATGCGGGTGATGGTAGGTGGGATGATGTTAAGAGATTGAGGGATAAAATAACAGGAGGTATGAGAAAAATGCCCGGACTAAGCTGGATCGAAAGCAGTTAGCCAGCTGCCGCTCTTGCCAGAAACAGAGAGGATTCTCCAAAAGGTATTAGAATGTTAAAGGTTTAATAGGTTCGGAGGTCCCTATATTTGCGAGTTCGTTTCACTTGGATCCTCCAATTTTAGAAGTGATCAATTAGGTCCCTAATTTAACAAAATTGAGTCAATAATACCCTTTCTGTTAAATGTAAGGGAATCTGAATGCAAATTAAACAGGTGACATGCTGAGGCATCATTTTATTTGCAGGTGGCAGAGTTTGAGCTTAATACGTGTCTATTTCTGCAATTTTTAATTTGCATTCAGATTCCCTTGCATTTAACGGAAAGGGTATTATTGACTCAATTTTGTTAAATTAGGGACCTAATTGATCACTTTTAAAATTGGAGGACCCAAGTGAAACGAACCCGCAAATATAGGGACCTCCGAACCTATTAAACCAATGTTAAACGTAATTTTGTATATTTTTTGCTTCTTCTATTTTTTTTTCTTTTAGGAATGCATAGAATTGGTCTTGAGAATTGTCTTTTAAGAAAAAGCAAGGAATTCTCATCTATAAAATCACACAATAAGGAGTTTCTTTAAGTCTATGCCTGATAGAAAACACATATTGAGAGTAACATCATTCAGTTTTTGTTTATTTGACCAAATTGATTAGAATATCTGTAATGAAAGTTTTCATAATAGAGTCCAAAGTAACCTTGCATTAACAAATCCATGTATTTACAGACTGGTGCGAACTCATGTCTGAGTTAGATTTGTTAAATAATGATTAAATTCTGATCTCACTTATTTTTCAATTATGCATTTGTTCCGTTACTTTCAGGGCTGATCTCACTCAAGTGGTGCCTATATGTTCTCTTGCTATATTTTCAAATACTTCCTTTCTCATGCTATATATTTTCATATACATGGTTCCTGGGGATTTTGTTCTATTCCAAGTCAGTTCATGTAAAAAACATACGTATGTGACTATGTGATAGAGTATGATCTCCAACTTTTATGTCTAACATAAGATTGATGTTTTTTTCTTTATACTCTACCCATGGTTCCAAAGCTTATCTCCACACCTCTAAAGTTCTAACTTTTCCATTTATTTCCTTTCTCAACATTCCTACTAAGATTACATTATTTATAAGAAGCATGCCATTGACTCCTAGATATACTCTGTTGGCACATCTACAAACAAGCCTCAGGGCAAAAAAATTAGGGCTAAAATTGATCACTGCCTCCAGGGAACATCTTGGTTGATAGAAGTGGGATCAGATTAAGACCAAGAAACAGTAGCCAAAAAGAAGAAGGTCTGTATTGGTACTTATAAGAACTTCCTCAAACAGAACAGTTCTCACTTGAATTGCTTTAAGGTATTTCAAGGAACCTAAAACTTCCACACAAAACCATACAGTTATATTCTCACCTCAACAATTACTAATAACTTCCTTTAATTGTAGTCTTTGACAGCTGCCCCCGTTAATTCTTACACGTTATAATTTTTCTTATTCTTTCTCTGATAATAGTTGGTTATCTTGTTCTATCAAGATATTATCTTATCAACTGCATTCCTTTACTAGTTCATCACAGGTTTCGTAAACTATCTTGTATTCCCAAAAGAATTTTTACGCTTCTCTCCTTGTCTTTTAGTTTGACACGTTTTGGTCATGACCTCAAACCTAGAAATGATAAACTCTACCATCAAATGTATTGTTTGGGGTATTCAAATCTGTGAAAGGACTGTAATTGTTTTTCTACATCAACTTCAGAAACATTTTATCTTCTTGCGTTACCCTTTTCAACACCTGCCCCATTTTTTTCATTGTACTTGAAGCAACATTTTACAGCAAAACAAAATGGTATTGCCAAAAAATGAACTGATACTTGGTCGAAATTACTTGTACCTTACGTCACCATTATGTTCCTCTTCACTTTTGGGACGACGCATTTGTCACATGTCATCTTGTCACAATTTCTTCATTTTTGGTGTCTGCAATCAGGTTCCTACTCTATCTTGTATTGCAGATAGACTATTTACCTTGTTTCTCCCCTTATATCTAGTTTCACAAGTTTTGGCCATGATCTTAAATTACATATTTTTATACTTTATATCAAATCTCTAGAATGTATTTTTTTGGGTGTTATTCATGTCTCCAAAAGTGTTATCATAGTTTTTATTTTATTTTTACCTCAACTTCAACTATATATTGTCTTTACTGAGTTACTATTTTTTTGAGACCTTCCCCCTCTCCTTCACTATATCTGATGTGATATTGACTACAAAACCTTTGTATATTTGACCTATTGTTTTTGCTCCACCTCCATTGATTACTTACTAACAACGGAAACTCACTCCAGTAAGATTCCACCTACTTGTCTCTTGTTTGGATTTTGTGTCTATTCTTAAGTTTACATATGAAGCCACAACTAAACCGAATTGGTGCTAGGCAATGTTGGATGGTATGAGAGCTTTACACTCCAATGGCATTTGGATACTTGTTCCCTTAACTCCTGACAAGACTAGTAAATGGCTTGTGGTTAATACAGTAAAGATGGGATCAAATGCTCGTGTTGACAGTTTTAAAACTCACTTGATGACCAAAGGTTATATACAAAATTTTGGTCTGGATTATGTGAACACCCTTTTCTTCAGTGATCAATATGACTTCTGTTTATCTCTTTCTTGCCATGACTACCCTAGAATGACTTCTACACTAGTTAGATACTAAATATGCCTTGTTACATGGTAAGTTGCATGAAATTTATATGTATCAGTATCCACGTTTTAGTGTTTTTGGTGAGTCTTGTCTTGTATGTTGGCTTTGTCATTTTCCCAGAGGATTGAAGTGGTCTCATCATGACTAGTAGTTTGGCTGTTTTATTTCCGCCATAATACATTTCACCATAACTCGGTGAAAGTTGATCACTCTATTTTCTCCTTTCATTGCGGTGCATTTATTTTGTCATCTATGTTGATGCCATCATCACTAGTAATGACATAATAAAGACTCAAAACTCACCTCTTCATTTAGTTTTAAACAAAAGACTTGGGACCCTCAAATACTTGTCAGGGATAGAAATTGTCCAATGCTTTTCTTATACTGCATTACCCAATAAAATGTGCTTTGATATTGTGAGACTGATATTCTTGATTGCCATCTGAGTTATACTCTAATGGTTCCCAATGTGAAGCTTCAACTAAGTTAAAGGGGCCGTTTCGTGGGAAAACTCAACCATCTCATTGTCATCATACCTCACATTACCTTTATAGTTAGTGGTAAGTCAATTTTTAATTCCACTTGTGATAGTCGGTTAGATGTTATCACACATATTGTTTGGTACATAAATGATGACTAATATATAAGAAAATAAAGGAAATGCCAAAATTACTTGTTACTCTAATATGATTTTGGCAGGATCATCATCAAACAAGAGACCCACCTCTAGGTAATGTGGTCTTATGAGAGGAAATTTCGTTTAATTGAGGAGAAAGATGCATGACATATTTTAGATTAAAAATTGTGCTATGGTATCGGTTGCATGCAGGTACGTGGCTAAATTAGGAGACATTCAATATATGAAACTTATATTTGACAATCAAGTTGTATTTCACATTACATCAAATCCAATCTTTCTTGATCGGGCCAAATACAGATAGATTGCTACTTGATAAGAAAAAATCTGTTTTAAGAGGAAACTATAAGTGACTTTGTCAACTCTGATGACTGGTTGACCGACATTCTCAGCAAGTTCTTGGAAGCTTTCATCTTGATTACATTTTAGCAAGTCATGACATTGTGCTTCAAACTGGAGGGAAGTGTTATATATGAAAATTATTATCCCCATAAATAAGTGTTGTTGTTACAACAATTTAGGAGTTTAATTTATGCTTTTGTATTTGTGATTGATTTTGTTGTACCCTCATGTGCTCACATACAACAAAATATTCAGATATGTTCTTTTTGTATGATAATTTACAAATAAAGTACCACATAAGTGATTTGGTCGTTATGTTTGCTAGTTAAAAAAGCATTACTTCAACCAAAAGACAGTGGGTTTGAACGGTTTGGTTTAGATACTATCCAAATAACATCCTAATTGAAATCAAGATGCTTCTGTCGGTTGAATTGACATGCTATGGAACCCATGAACACCTTAAATGCGACAAGTTCCATTAATATTTAGTTAAAAAATTACTAAAGGTTAACACTGTAAAGACCTTGAGAATCAAACCAATGAGTTGATGTAGTAGTTAGGTACATTACAGTAACACGTAGTAGTTATATCTATTTAGTAGTGAATTCTGTTTTTGATCTTTGTTATATTGAAAACTCGTTAATCAAACGACAGTAACAATGTCACAAATGAGATTAATATATGATTTGATCGGGTAGAGAAAACCTATGACAACAAAAAGAAAAACCTTAAGAATCAAGATACTACTCTTTAAGATTTAGATACAAAAGATTGTTGTGTCACACTCATGATGCAAACCTAAAGAGTATTAATTTGCATTTTCCCCTGTATTTTATCAGTGAGTACCAATAATGACAATTCTTATAAAGTTCCCCGTCAATATTTAATAAATATTATGTTGGAATATCAGTGAAACCTTGCCCAAATGGTCACTAAATTAATCAATAAAAGACGAAGTCCATATCCATAAAACCTTATATAACATAAAACATCAGGACAACACTGCATAATGTAAATGATGCTCAAGTTGAATTGTAAAACCAGACGTGTCATAGACTCAGACATGAGAATAACGCCAAAGTGAACAGGGAACCTTCAATACTACACATTTCATCTTAGATTTAGTTCGTTAAGTTTGATCATAAATTTAATCCTGAGTTACTGCATAATGATGTTCTTGAGATATACTTGGCTGGCTTAAGTATACTTTCTCTGTAATGTTTTTGATCCTAGAGGATTTTAAAATACAAGTGAAATTTGAGGCCTCAAAAGAGTGTTTTATGTAGAAATTTCATCTTCAACACATTGCAGCACCTGTGACTGATGACTGGTGAAAAATCTAAAAACTTAGATGTTCGTAGGAATTTTGTTTAG